CTACCCGCAGCAGCAGCAGCTTCCCCCACCGCCACCTCATCAGCAGCAGCAGCCCCTACCGTTCCAGCAGAAGGTTGGGGGTCATGCCCATGTCTATACCATTACCCACGATGAGGCCGCCCGCAATACAGGTACTATGTCCGGAATGCTTTCTATCTCCAACGTGCCTGTCTTTGCATTATGTTATACCGGTGCTACCTATTCCTTTAGTTCTTCTCATTGCTTGGAGGCCTTATCTATTAGCACCGTGCATACTTGTGATCCTCTCGAGGTTAGTTTAGCCTTGGGAAAAATTATTATCTCTGATTCAGTGGTTCGCAATCTTCCTATTTGTGTTGGTGGTCGAGTTCTGGAGGCCGACGTCTATGTAATTGAAATGCGGGACTTTGACGTGATCTTGGGCATGGACTGGCTCACACGTTACCGAGCCGATATCTGGTGCCAGGAGCGCGAAGTCAATCTCTATCCCGTTTTCGATCAGCTTGTTGTGTTTTATGGGGTGAATTCGAGGACTGTGCCTCGAGTCATCTCTTCTATGCAAGCTAGGAAGAGCCTTTCCAAGGGTAGTTGTCAAGGCTATCTCGTTTCCTTGGTATCCGACGTTGTTGATGAGCGGGTGCCCGAAAGATTATCCATCATTTGCAAGTACCTCGACGTTTTTCCTGATGATTTGCCCGGAGGACCGCCGGACCGACAAGTGGAGTTCACCATTGACCTAATTCCAGGAGCCGGCCCCGTTTCTAAGGCCCCTTATCGTATGGCGCCGAAGGAGCTTCAAGAGCTCAAGGCCCAGATCCAGGAGTTGCTCAAGCTCAGTTTCATTCGTCCGAGTGTCTCGCCGTGGGGTGCGCCCGTCCTATTCGTGAAGAAGAAAGACGGATCTATGCGCATGTGCATTGACTATCGGGAGTTGAATGCCCTTACAGTCAAGAACAAGTACCCCCTTCCCTGTATTGAGGACCTTTTCGACCAGCTGATGGGAGCCAACGTCTTCTCAAAGATTGATTTGCGTTCTGGCTATCATCAGCTGAAGATCCAGTAGTCGGATATTTCCAAGACTGCTTTCCGTACCCGCTATGGCCACTATGAGTTCGTAGTCATGTCGTTCGGACTCAGCAATTCCCCGGCCGTCTTCATGGACCTTATGAATAGGGTCTTTCATCCTTTCCTGGACTAGTTCGTCATTGTGTTCATCGATGACATTCTGGTCTATTCCCGAGATATCGATCAGCACAAG